TTGTGCAACCCGTGTTCTTCACGGACTCGCCGATTCCGCACAGTGAATCGGCGAGTCACTGTGCGGAATCGTTTGGTTCTCTCTAGAACCAGACGATTCCCGTTTTTTAAACCGATCCGGTCCATTTTCGTGAATTTCGAGTCGAACCGGGCGAGTCCGGTTCGACTCGGCGATTTTTAAAACGCTGGGTTCATATAATCAATGGTCTTGATCTAATCTTCACAAGGATGACTAACCCTATAGAAAGTCTATAAATAGTGGCTCACTCTCTATACTTTGAATATCTCTCATCTCTCTCTAGGTGGCACGCCATCCCCTCTTTCCCTTAAAAAAATATTGAGGTTGAAAAAAGGGGCATGCCTCAAGCCTATGGTGTCAAGAAATAGCGTGCCCTATACTAAACATTGAGATCTCAATGTCTAGGTTTGCTCAAAGTTTGTTCCATTGCTCTTTGTTTTAATTAAGGGTTGTAGCATAAGGTTTTCCACGTCCAGTTGAGGTAATCTTCTAGCAATTTATTTTTTGTTTATACAATTATATGTTTTATGCTCCTAAAGATAAAGTTTATGCAATTTTCTTGTGCAATAAAAGAAGGAAAAAGTCTATATAAGTGCGAGGCTCTAAACAAACAAATTAAGGCGCACCTCTAAATTTTCACTAGAAGAGGTTGTTTTGATGCCCAAAAATCCTCAAATTGAACATCTCAACCTCAAGATGCATGGACATGAGAAAAAATGGACTTTGGGTTTTGGAAATAGTGTATTTGTAATGCATTTTTTTTATCGTCATTTTTTAAGATTTTCAAGTGTTCATCTACTCGATCTACACTATGTTTAAACTTCAAATTTTATAATTAGAGATGAAAATAAATTTTTGGGCAAGCACAAAGATTCCAATACTGAAACAACATCTTACGACAATTTGAAGTGCGCCCTACTTTGATTCTTTAAAGCCTAAGCCTTATACAAATCACACCCTTAACAGAATGATTAAAATGGCAGCAAGTGAGAGTCTATGAGATCCTTTATGTTTTTATTGTTTCTCATAATGTGTTTGGACACTTGTAAGTGATCCAAGTGGTAAAAATAAAGAAAAAAAATAAAAATTTAATCAATATACACTTGCCTAGGTTATATATATAGTCGAGACTCTTAACAATCAAATTAGAGCCTACCTTAAAACTTTTACTAGAAGAGGTTGTTTTGATGCCCAAATATCCTCAAATTGATCATCTCGACATCAAGATGCATGGACATTAGAAAACATGGATTACAAATTTTGGAAATAGTGTATTTTGTAACGCATTTTTTGACCGTCAATTTTCAAGATTTTCAAGTTTTCATATATCTATCGATCTACACTATTTTTGAAGCTATAAACTTTACAAATAAAGATGAAAATATATTTTAAGGCTATCACAAGGATTTCCAGTATTGAAACCGTA